TAGAAGTGTTCTTCTTTTATTTGGAATCCATGTCTCTCCCGCCAACTAACGTGGTTTGTTGCACAAACCCCTTCTTGCAAGACGCCTTTTCCTTTGGGTTCCTGTCCACTTCCAGGGTGGACGCTAGGGTTCCTGGCCTTGGCCATGGCGAACTGCGGGTGGTCCGGCTTCATGGTGCGCAGCATGTTCAGCGCTTGGTCGATCTCGCCCTTCTCGATGGCCAGCTGGCTATTGGCCACCAGGATCTTCACTTCCTGCAGAGAGAGAGAGAGAGATCATGTGTAGCAGTGGCAAAAAACGCAGCAGTCGCAGTAGCAACTTTGGCGTTGGATTGGCATTATGGGGGGGTTGGCGGTGGCGGGGGGCGGCGGCCGCGGTGGTGGTGGCTGAGTTATCGCTAGTGGCATTGTCATCATGACTGCCACTACACGAATTCCGATGTTTTGTCGTCACTATCAATATGATCGTCACTATCTGGTATCATTCTCAAAAATATCATGCTGGGCTATCATTGTCATGGGTACCATTGTCATGAGTGTCATTATCGTCACTATCGACAGATTGAGGCATAGGCAACATTCTTGCGGGTATCGCCGTCTTTGTTGGCAAGGCTGATTGTTGTTTGTCGTCTCATGACCATTGATGTGGTCGGTACTCATTTAGAGGAGACCATTACAAGTCTTGGGCAGTACCAAACACCTGCACGCTCCAAAGTGTCGAATTTGGGAAACCCTGAACTTTCAGGGCTTCCAGCACCCACCCTTCCCTGCCGCCCTCCCCACCCACCTTCCCCCCATTCACCCCCATTCACCCTATCCCCCACGCTCTGCAGCCCACCTCCGGCGTGCCGGCAAACTCGGCGATGGCAGTCTTCACCACCTCGCTGGCTTGGTCCAGCTGCTTCAGCCTCGAGTCAGCGCGGGGGAAACCTCAAAACAGTGTGGAACCAGGTGCGGGTGTTTTTAAGGGTATGGTTTACAGGGGAAACCAATGGACAACCACAATTTTAGGGTCACGGAAGCTGATAGGAAGGTGTGGGAAGCGTACTTTCCATTTTTGCAACCCCCTTTCCACTTCCATGATTGCGCACTTGATTCTTTCCTGCCAGTGCCAGAAAGTCAGATCCTGATGTGCGCTTCAATAAAAAAAACCTTTCCGAGAGTCCCGCCTTTTTGGGGGATGTAGGGTGATACCAGGCGGGTCGTAACTGGGTCCAAGCCTGTTCCCTTTAACAGGTGCTTTGCAGTTCAACCAAATGAAAAATATAGCGCCTGGAAGCTTCACCAACTGCAGCCGACACCTTAGGGGAAGGATCCTGTATTGGAGGTAAGCTCGCCACCTTCTTCACATTGCTGAGGCGGGAGTTCTCAAGGTTCCTGAAATGTCCCTCTACAACCTCACCCCACCAAAAGGAAGCTCATGTAAACTTAGCCCAAGAGGTGATTTTTGAGCAACCTAGGGAAATGTAAGAACCCCTCCGGGTGAATCATGATCACTCACCAACAACAAACAAGTCACACATTGCTTAGGGGGGATCTACGTTTAACCCCCAAAAAAACAACACAAAAATACAAAAAAAAACACAATGTTTGAATTGATCCCTGAAATCTCAGCTCAGCGAGGAGCTTGGTGAGCAGATTCACGTGCAAGGTGAAGAGGGAACATCGGTCCGCCTGCGACAGCTGCACCGCGCTCTTCTTGGAGTCGCTCTTCACCCCAGGCAGAGCCATGGCCTCTACGGGCGTCGGCAACGTGACAGGGAAATGTCAGGGGCTTCGGCTTCCCTGAAATTCCCTCGGTTTCCTTTGGGTTTCTTTCTCTTGTGTGTTTTTCCCCTTTTTTTTTCTGGGTTTCATTAAGTTTCCCCGGTTGCTTTTTTGGAAATTGGATTTTGAACCCCCAAACGGCGAGAAGAAAGGGGACGATCAAAAACCGACTTTTCCGGTGATGGACATCTCCAGGCGTCTTTGAGACAAGCCCAAAATGGTGGTGTAGATTGGTGGCTTGGAGGTCGGGGGATGTTTTTCCGTTTGGCCTGAACGTTGGTACCCCCAAGACCACCAATCCAACCCACCAACTAAGAGTGACCAGAAACAGCAAGTCTGGGGCAAGTATTTTTCAGCATTCTCACAAATATGTCCCTATTTGTCTCCAGGAACATGCAATCACTTGCTCAAAACGTGATGCAAGGAGGAAATATCGGGACACCCATCCCGGGTTTGGCTTTTGCTTTCCGCATTTTCCCGCGCATCGCACCATTGCGAGGGAGACCTGGAATTCCCACCCAACAGAAAAACCTGCGCCTGCTCCAACAACTTGGAGGCCTGATCCACCTCCCCAGCCGCTGACAGCACCTCCGCCTCGAAAACCAACGAGCTCGCGGATGAAGGGGTGGGCTTGGAAAACCCATTAAGGAGAACCTCCCATTCTTCACCCAATGGGAGAACCCCCCCCAAGTTTTAAGACGTCCTCTCCCGCGGAACGCGCAAGGTGCTAGGTCAAATGCCAAGTGAGTGGGAGGGGATGGTTTGGAGTGCCCTTCATGCCCGGAAAACCCCGAAGGGTCATATAATATGGCCATTAATAAATGCACAATATGGCTTTCCTTACAGTGGCCAAGAGAACTCATCAAAATATTGAAGCACCCAACAATAGGATTTCATCGATATCCCCTACTAAACAAGGGTTTTGGGTAGGGGGCGCCCATTTTGAGACAAACCCATTTCCAGCCCAGCAAGCCTTTAACATGAACAATCGAATCTTCTGAGCAAATCCACAAAGCAAAGGGTATTGGACAAGTCAGGGGTTTCCAAAGGTCCACAACTACACAGCCCAAAGCAACCATGAAACGGGAAATGGAGTGTGCTGCTGCTGCGGCTAATAATGACGACGACTCCTCTGCTCCACCCTGCCTTGACCAAATAGTACAAGGGGTGGGAGCGGACGCTGAAGTCGTGGCTGAGGCCCTGCTCCAGGTACTGCAGGGCTGCGTTTTGCTGGTCCTGCCAGAAGACTCTGCGTGTCAGGAAGGGAGCACAAAAGTGGACTGTTCACAGAAGCAAGGGCAGTATCTGACACAGAAACCCATTCGAACACGGAAAGCGGAAGTCTTGCATCAAGCGCAGAATCAAGAAAGCTGGCATGATGACTTAATCTCGGTGCCAGAGTTACCTGTTCAACAAGACCACCCAAAGAATTGAAATGCATCGAAACTAGTTGTCCCAAAAGGTTTGCGGTACTTTTTGTGGGTTTCATAATAAACACATCAGACAACCTTGTCACCCACTTTGGACCCCTCCCAAAAAGGGGTGGGTACTGGCTCTTTGGTCCAACCCAAGCCCCAGCGATACCACCCACGCGCCCACCCACCCACCCCCCCACCTTCTGGTGGTAGATCCTGGCCAGTAGCAGGTAGGTGTCCGCACAGCTGGGGTCCAGGCGCAGGCATTGGTGCAGGATCCGGGTAGCCACGTCCACCTCGTTGAGCGCCACCTTGGCCTTGGCCAACAGCACCTGGCCCGGGGGAGACCCCCCCTCCCCTCAAACAAATAGAAGAAACGCATGATCAAGGCCTTACTGACAAAAAAGTCGAGGGAGCTGAGCAAAACAAAAAGGTGGGATTCTGTGATCTTCTACCCTTGGGCCAAACCGAAAAACTGTAGACTGCCAGCCTCTTCTGGAATGCACAACACAGACTTTCACACGAGCTTGTGACTCAGCTCCAAGGATTCAATTCAACTTCAATGGCAGTGTTCTTGTTACCACTGTGCTAAAATCTGTGCAAGGATCCAATTTGCCTTTGCAGTGGGTTCAGTCCTGTGAACTAGAAACAAGGCCAACAGTGCAGCACAGGAAAGCCATGGTTGTCGGCCTTGTTCTCCTTGACCAGTCAGGTAGCAAAATACACTCCCTTCGCCACGCTAAAGTTTGCTCAGTCTGCATGCCCCCCCCCTGCCCCCCCCTAGATTTCGTCTTGAAACATCGCCCCGCCCAAAGGAACCGCACGTGTACATTGGCCCAAAAGGTGATGGAACCCCTGGTTCATCTCTCTGCTTCGCCGCGCCTGCGCAGGCACCAGACCAGGAACAAAGCGAGTCAGAGTCTCCAGTACCTGGACGCCTCGCAGCAAATATCCCCCTGGCTTGGCCGCGTCATCTCCCCCAGAGATGGTGTGCTGCAAGTACTCCCGCGCAATCTCGAGCATGAAGTCAGCGTTCAGCTTGATGAAGAAGTCATAGCCCACCGCCGACTTGAAGTTCGTGATGTGCAGCGTCAGTGTTTCGTTCAGCAGGTTCAGGGCACCCTCGGCGTCCCGGCGCTTGCGCCACGCAATCAGCGACTGGAGAAAAGCCAGGTCTGGGGACTTGCCAACAGAGATCTGAATCTCGCTCAGGAACTCCAGCTGTTCCTCTGCGTCATCCAAACTACCCTCCTGTACCCGGCAGTTGATGATCCCAAAGAGCGCTCGGACATCTGTTTCATCTTTGGCCACCGCTGAATGGAAGGTCTGCTCTGCCTCAGGGCTGGTTTACAAAAGCGCAAGCCCAAATCGCCAGTCTCTCGCAACAGATCTCTATTTACATCATCAAAAAAGAAGTGGCAATGCTCACACAATTGCCAGGTCCTGTTTCAACCCCTGGCCTTGGAGAGCTCTGCTTGCATCATGTACTGGTATCCAAGCTCTGTCAAGTACTTTGCTTGCTCTGGCGCTGCATCTGTAACCCTCTTCATCATCGAGAAGGTGATGTTCAAGATGGATTTGTGCCTGGGACCACGGACCCTGAGTACCCATCATCAAAAGCGTTGCATGAATAGGTTGCTGAGCTGCCATCGGCAAACCACCACCACGACAACATGCGGAATGAATCTTGGACAAGCATGAACGAATTGGAATCCGCATTTGACCACATCCGAGGGGTTTTGTCCCAAATTACTACAACGAACGATGCTAGAATTCTATGTCACGTTCATTCACCCTAGCATGGATTCCGTGACGTGTTGTTATCATTTCCATCACTTTGGTAGAGTGCAGAACACACGTGAGCCTTTTGTGGTTTCTTGCAGGGCGCTGTACTTGTTGGCTGCCTGCGCAGATTCTACGCATGGCCTTTGCCCCCGACTCAGCGCCTACACTTGACTGGCTGTGAGTCGACCTATGCCTTGCCTACGCGCGGAGGGAAACAGGGTTAAACCCTTTGTTCGAGGAGGCAGTTCTCTGGAACAGTATGTGCATCTTTTGAAAGTGGCGTTCGCTTAGAGCATAGTGGATCTCGAAAGTGTGCTTTCTGGGCTAGAGGCCTAGTACGCATCAGTAGTTGAGGAGACAACAAAGAATGGGGCACTGACCTACTCTCAATCCTCCGATCCTACGCCGTGCCTCTATGCCAAGCCCGTGGCAAGCCTATGCGATTTTGCAAACACACCAAGTTCTAAGCAAATATGCCGCAAATCGTGTGACCAAATCAAGCATCGGTACATCTAGCGGAGGCTCCACGAACGCGCAAGAGTCCCAGCCATGAACAATGCCTATGCGACGCCTCCGCACTTCACCACAATGCCTGCGTCACCATTCTTCTTGCAGCGGCTTCATCCGTTTGCGAACAACTTCTGCACTTCAACGCGATTTGATATCTGTTAGATGAGAACATCACAATCTGAGACCATCCCAGACAATTCCCGACCAGTCCGGCCATTCCCCAAACCTTCTCACACAAATCATACCACGTTTACTCTTCTGGCAAATTCGTTGGACACGGACCTTCCAAAACCCGAGCTCCACTTGCCGCTTCGGTGAGCCCGAGCTGGGCTGCCCCAACCCCCTGCCTTCCGGCGAGGCGGGAGAAGAGCTGGGCGCAGCTCAGCACCTAAGGCGAGGGAAAAGCAAAGTCTGAGAACGTCCAGTCCTGGGGCGGGGCCCTGGAACACCCCAACGTGTTGGGCCCCATTGTCTTGGGCGCTTTCCCAAACCATATCCCGCTTAGATATGGTTGGTCCGGAAACCTCCTATATTGGGGCGGTTTGGGCCCAGGGTAGTATAGGAAGTAAAGAAGAAAACATCAAACATATCTTCGAAGGTGAGACCAAAAGAACATGCCCAGCAACCATGGACCATCCAGCCAAGAACCCTAAGAACCCAATACCCCCCAAACGAAGGCGAAGTGTCCAAAAAGACTTGGGGGGGTGCCCCTGTTCTGTTTGGAGACAAACCCCTGCGCAGGTCATGGCACAAGGTCGTAGTTGTGGGGCTCCAGCTGCTGCATCGCTGCCACCAACTCCTAGCACCCGAACCGCCCGCTCGGAGCCGGAGACCGCTTCTGGCCAAACGGGAGGGGGGGTGGGGGGAGTATGGATCCTGCGAAAGGGGCTTCGCTGTGCTGTGGACTTGAACACCAACCAAAGGGGATTCAAAAGCGAACACCTAATATGGAGAATGGGTGGTTGCCTTTTTGGCATCTCCTTAAACCAAAGCCAAAATGCTTACCAACGCAAAAGACACCCAATTGGGGAAAAAGCGCTGAGTTCAACATGGGGGCGGCCTTGTGAACCAGTCCCAAATAGGATGCTCCCGAAATGCAGTTTGAATAACTACACCGTTTTCTGACCGAGCCTCATGTAGGCTACAAATTGGTGGGTCAAATCACCCGCTCGGTGTTGGTTGGGCTCCAACTCGATGCTCATGAAAACAAGCTAGGATGCGCCAGCGGAGGCTTGCGTGTGGTGCCAGCAAAGGAGTCAAAGGTGGAGAAAAGCAAGGGAGAACGAAAAAAGGGTGAAGAACAAAGGATGAAGGCCAAAGGGAATCGAGCCCTTTGCCTGCCACCATGGTCAACAGAGGAATGGCGCTACACCAACCTGCTACAAGAGGGCTCTGGAAAATGGCTGCGAGGATGAAACTCTTGAAACGCATGCGCGAGTGGGTCGACTTCAGCTTCGTGCCTTGATCCCACTTTCATCTGGCGCCATGCACATGGTGCAATGAAAAGCTACACGCGGCGAAAGAACATGTGAGAGGCAGCAAAAGTACAGGGAAACAACAACCGCCCTTTGGCAAACAACCAACAAATCATGCTCTTCAAAAGGCATGTGACACTTTGCTTTTCTGGCCACAATTGCCACTTGCTGCAAAATCCATGTGGTCTCTGGGATTCCTCCAGTTTGAGTCACACCCATGCACCCATGCTTTGCGAATGGTTCGAGAGCTCCTGAATTTTGGTTCCACAATTCTTCCATTTGTTGGCATCCCCTCTCTCTCTCTCCCTCTCCCTCTCTTAGGGGTGTCCCTTAACTGAATCTTCAGCATTGCCTCTCCTGCAGCCTCTCCGCCGCTGCATCGCAGCGAGACTCCCGGGAGAGGAGGAAAAGCACGTTGAGGCGCAGTGCCTAGGTTCGGCCCTTTGCACCGGGGCTCCGCTCCCTATGCTGTCTCTTTGAAACTTACAAGCCTCCAGCTAGGTTCCAATCAACCTGCAAATGTTGGATGTTGTCCAAAACAGGGAGTCCAGAAGGGACCCTTGTCTACACAAGCCAAAAGAATTGCCCCCCTCAAAATTTGTCCAACAGGTCATTAGGTTAACACCACCAAGAAGGCAAATGTGCCACCGAAGGCGACAGGCGATGTGAGCCACCCCGTTTCGCGGGTCGGGCCTCGATGTTGTTGGGCTCCTGCTGCTGCAGGCGCCCGGCCGCCTCCAGCGCCTGGTCCCAGTCCGCCGTCATCATCAGGGTCTTGGCCTTCTCCATGAGCGCCGGGAGGAACCAGTCGTGCATCACGATGACCTGAAAAAGAGAAACTCGGATGTTCAGAACTCACACCTTGGCAGGAAAAGAGAAAAGCAAGGCGAGGCAAGCAAAAAAACTAAGGACAAAGAAACAAGCTGACATAGCAAAGCGAAGTTGCAGAGAATCGAAATCTGGACACTGTGTGACAGTTGACTGATAGCTTAACGTGAAATTGGGGGGGTCAAATTGGAGCAACACTAATTTAGACAAACAAATAATTGGCAAGAGTCGCGAAAGGTTGACTGGTGGACTTTTGGTCACGAATTGAACGAATCAGCAGCAATAAGTTGCAATATGAACAATCTCTTGTTTAGCTTGGGGGTGCCGGCAGCGCGCACAAAAAGGAGTGTTTTCCGAACGATCAACAAACAGCCTTGAGCAACTAAGCTCTTCGTCGCGGGGGGGGGAGGGTGGCCTCCAGGCTATCTGTTTGGTTGGGGATGTTGAGCACCTTCCTCGGCAATCCCTGGCTGGGCAATGAGTGGCATGCTAGCAGAAAAAGGTGCTCTGCTCGCCCCAATGATTGAGGCGACTGGCAATTCAACCAACTACATGGCTTCATACATGTCAAAAGTCACTGGAAGCACCAGCGGAATATACTCATACCTCAAGCAGACTTTGTTGACATGTTTCATGCCTGATGTCAACACTTGGGCACTCCCAGCCACTGCCCTCCGGGGAAATGTGTTTAATATGCCTACTGTCAATGTGCCAAGTGTGCCAAATGCATGAGCCATATCCCACCAGGTAATTAACCCTGCCAACCCACCCACACACCCCGAAAGCCCACCGTTTCCGGGCCTTGTTCAGACAGTCCAGGGCCTGCGCCCATTGGCGCTTCCCCTCCAAGACCTTGGCCTTGCCCATCAACGCGTCCAAGTTCTCGAGCTCCGTGCCGGAGCCCGTGGCGGCATCGAAGAATTGGCCGCACCTCGAGTTCTGGGGGGTGAGATGGGTGTCCAAGAACTGGGAACCCGAAACCCCGGCGGCTTTTCTTTGGCTGTCAAAAGTTTCAAAAATACACACCCACAGTAGCCTTCGGCATGGGATGCATGCTGGATGAATGAATAGAGATAACTTGAGTTCCCAACCAAAATCCTTCATTTGGGCCATCTCTCACTGGCACTTCTCAATTGCCGCCTCGCCTCATTGGACCCTTTTGCTCGCGGGATGCGGGAATCCTTGAGTAGCAATCAAAACCCGGCATCGATTTGGTATGCCCGAAACCATGCAAAGAACCAAAAGCACGAATGGCCGCAGCCGTTATGCTGGGGACTGTCCCTTGCTAACCTTCACTTACACGGGTTTGGATTGTGGCTCTATTGGGGGGTCTGTTGCATCAAAGTCTTGCTCTTGGCTGGACTTGCCAATCACTTCAGCCGCTGTCTCCCTCGATCCACACCTAGTGTACTTGGTCCTCACTCGTGGTTTCATTCGCTGCACCTGCCTCGCCATGCGCCGAGGGGCTGCTCTAAAAATGCATTGCTGGTCTTGCCGCTCGCGGCGTTCACCTTTTTGCCGGCGACAAAGGCATTCCAGCCACGCACGGCGTTGGCAGCAGCACTGTCGATGTCGTCCATCGAGCCCAAGACCTAAGCGCTCCCGCACTCCAGCCGAAAGGCCCTTGACTAGAATCCCCGCCAAAAGACCTTGCCACTCAAAGCCTTGGATGGCTTTCTGACAAAACAAGGGCCTTCTTCTGAACTGCTGATTTACTTTTGGCAGGCTTTTGGCAACCACCACGGGAGGGGGGAGGATCCGACATTCAACCTGCACAATCAGAGAACGCATTCGACGCGATCTCTCTGCGAAGGCACTTCTTGGCCCTTCTCGGTCTCCCCGACCATCGTGTAGAAGCGAACGGTCAGGAGCTCAGCAGGCGATCAGATTGCGTGTCTTTTTCTGAGAGCCCCTAATTGGGCAGGGCTGGAATACCCTTCTTGCATGCCATGCTTTAAGAACACTCATTATAATACTGCTCGTGATAAGAGCCAGGAATGAAAACTGCAGGAACAAAGAACTTGGTCCGCAGTCTCAATGGAAGCAAGGGCTAATACTGTCTGACGACCTGGCAAAGGAAATTGCATGGACCCCAGCATATCGTTATGGGCTTAAACATTTATCAGGTGATGCCCGCCGTGAAATTCCCTAGGCGACTTCTCTGTAGCATCCCTGCTTTCTTTCTACAGGTTCTTGTGCACGTAAAATGTCAAAATCATTCGAGGCAACAAATTTGTGTCATCTGGAAATAACCCACTAAATGCAGTAATTTCCCAGGTGAAATCCAAAGCTGTAAAACAAAAACCCGATCTGCACCACTATACGGGTGTGCTTGACTACCTTTCAGGTGTGCTGGCTTCAATTCTAGCTTAGATCCTTGCCGACTTCATCAATCCTTGTTGATACCGCAAGATAGACTCAAACAAAGGCGTGCTTGATTTCACCACAAGGGACCCTGGTTTAAGTCTGTGGGTAATGAATGCCCTCTCCACTTCCCCCGCCTTGGCGGCCTCGGGCGCATGATGCAGCTCTTGCGAGGCGCGCACATTCATGTCCCTCACCTGGAGTGCGTCAAATGGAGTATGAAACACAGGGGTGTCTTACAATTGGAATATACACCCAAATGGGTGGAATTCTTTGAATACCTTTCAACTCACCCCAAAATGTACCCTCAAACAAAGCAAACCCGAACGATCAACAGGTCAAGAGCACTGGCCACATTTACCCAAAAAAGTCACCTCTTGCAAGCGACCGGCCCTTGAGCGCTCTTCAAGTGTTTACATGGTGCAGCTTACTGATCCTTGGGCTGGATCCTCCAATCCCAGGCGCCGCATCTTGGTCCACGGTGCCCAACTGGTTGTGGAAGAAGGCGAGGGCGCTGGCGAAGGGAAGGCCCATGTCACCTCGGAGAAGGGCCAAACCACCCCGAGGGAAACCCTGGTCCCGCTTTGAAGCGGAAAGCATTGACTATGATTAAAGCAACATCTTTTTGGTTTTTCGTTGAATAGAGACATCCGTCTGTTGTCAAGGCAAAGCGAGGTTTGAGCTGGTTGTGCTGAACACATGGATCTCATGACATTTGAGAGAAGACTGCAAGCCCCCGTCCAGAACATGCAGAGAATAATGCAAGACACTCCATTCTGTTGGTGGCACCTTGCCACCATTATTTGTGTTGGCCAACATCGAACATTAATGAAGGAAATGAATCAAATAACTTGTAACCTCAACAATGAGCCAAAACACGGGAAAACCAACCCAACTAGCAAACAGAATGCGGGAAACCCATCCCGAGAGCAATCAGTTTAGACATGCCCCGTTAGATATTCGTCTGGCGAAAGAAAACAACCGTGCAACCCGAGCCGCGCTTGCCGAGACAGGCTTCTGCTTCGAAAATCGCCTCCCGCGTGCTGCCCTCGCAGTGGAGGGCGTAGGCCTAGCCGAAACGCCACTCATGGGTCGTCCCTTTGCATTAAACAGATTGGTAAATCAGAAACCACATCCCAGGTGTGCGTTTCCAAAAATCCATTCAAATGAGAAGCGAACAAAAACCACTCTCCATCCAACCTATTTTGAACCAAACTAAGACCACAGAGCACACCGATGGCACCCGAAAGAGAGCTCAAAGGAGCCCATTCAACTTGTTTGAAGCCCGAGATGCAGGAGCACTTGCGCAACACACGAAGCAACGTCTAAGGGACTCGGGCAAGCATTAGGCCGCTTGTGTTCCGGTTTGGCCGGCAAATTCTGGGCAAACCTCTCACCTGATTAGAGTCTTTCTTGGGTATACAAAACCATACACTGGGAGCATGCCTACGGGGATGCCTCCAACACACCTTTCGCGAGCTACTCTTTGAACACACCTGCGCAAACCTGCCAACGCGGATTCGTGCTGAAATGGCCAACGCAGAAAGCCTACGGGATCCTACCCCCAACCAAATTTGCTTACTCGGAGCCTCCACGACACAAGACGAGTTACACCCGAATATTCAACATAGTTCGTATGGGCACCCTGTGATTCAATGATGCTACTGCAGGCCTTCGGACTCCCTGGGTACCATACTTTCGACAACCGACAAACTGGGTCCATCAAATTCTCAACTTTACCGTTCAAATGGCTTAAAGGGAAACCACAAAAGTAAGTTTGAGAAACCCGCAACTTCAGTCAATTTGATGGACCCACTCAGCATTCGAAACTTGCCCGTTTCTCGGCTTGCAACACCTGCCTTCCACAGGTGCAAGGGGATGTCGTTCGTCCTCCTAGCCTCTTCATTACATAGTGTCTGCGCCTTGTTGTAGTACCCTTCTCCTGGGAGCTGGGGAGAATTCGGAGCAGATTGGTGCACCAGGAATCAGGCCGGCTAAAGAAAGCGCCATCCAGAGGATTCGATCCAATGCATTCGCAGCATATGCGAATATAAACCCACCATGCATAAATTGCCTGGTTGATGAAAAGGGGGGTCTGACTTTGGGAATCTGGATCACTTTGGGCGAAGCACGCCCCCAAACAACATCCGCCAGGTCTTTTTCTGGGGGCGACACTGAAGCTTTTATCCGCTAGCATGGAACGGGGGGGGGTCAAAAGAGACTCTGTGGCTTCCATCGAACTGTGCAATGCTGCCGAAGAGCTCGCGTAGTACTGAGCGAGGACCTGTGCTCCGGACGCGGATCCGTGGATAAGGTCTGTGACGAAACAATTTGTGCTCAAGTGTGTTCCACGTGGGTAAAACAGGCATAAATATACAGAAACAAACAAACTATGCGGGTGACCTTGAATGGGGTCTAACAAATGTGCTCTGGCTTTGTTCATGCAAGTTGGGATCTAAGCCTTGTAAAGGGTCCCCCAAAAGCGCGCCTCAGCAAGCCCTGCCATTCTGGGGCAAACTAAAAGTACAAAAAACAAGCCACCACTTCTAATTTTCACACCTGCGGATTACCTAGCAGCTCCAATAAAGTATCTCGCACTCGAAACCTCCCAGCACTTGGGCTTGTCTCAAAACAGGAAACGGATCTTCCGTGTCCTTTTGGTTTCCCTTCCAAACAACCAAACAAAGCCTCTCCCCTCAAAAAGATGAACCCGACACCCACCTCTCTTTTTCCAGCTAAGCGAGCCTGCGCCTGCGTCGTCATAGCGCGAGGCCGCGGGCAAAGCCGCTCAAAGGCAAGATTCTACAATCACTACCGCTTATGAGCTGGCTGCATTGGTTCGAGCTGTTTGAGAAGTCAAACAAACGAATAGCAAGGGCTCAATAAGAAGTTCTCCGGCCAAGTATTCCCTGCATTGGAGTGCTTCCTGCACAAACTTGTGGCCGGTGAATAAGGTTGGTCTGGTTCTTGTTTGGTCCAATTCTATCATGGTCTTTGCTGCTCACAGCTGAAGCCAAAAGCACATAGCATGGCAGTGTTTTGCAAGCAGGAGATAACAGGGACAGAAAAACAAGAAATAGGCTACCAACGCGAGCGACTGCGCTACTTCGAACACGTTCCCCCATGTTCAATACAAGGTTTCTTTGGCAATGGTCCCTCCTAAAATGAACTCAGCTGCCAACGCCCTCTGCAACAGAAAGCTGGCACGACGGGCAATTGTATGGTCGTAGAAAAACCAAAGAAAAAAAACAGCTAGCCCAACATGGTTCAACTGTTGGTACTTGAGTCACAGTCAAAGCCTAGCATTAAAGGGGTCTACCCAAATTCATGCAAAGATTCAAAGGTCGGATATCCGCACCGATTTCTGGCAAAGGAAGCGTCCCTTACTCACCTTCACTTACCCGAATCTGTTAATCTCCACAACATTCTTCAGCCCAAACAGCCGCGACTCCTGTCTCGCGGCCACAACAGCTACTGGACCCTCAATGTCACACCCAAGCTGCCAGCCTATCGAGCGGAGAAGAAGCGCAACTCGCGGACGGCCTATGCGAAAAGCTGATAAATCGGACACCTCTTGGACTGGTGAAGCAGGATCCGCAAAGTCCAGTGGTGAATCCTAAGCCTTCAAAGTCCACGAGCCGTCAAACCGAGCTGCAAACTTCACCCGGCGATTCCGCGTGTCCAATTCCTGGAGCCGAGCTGCCCTTGGACGGTCGTTGCTCCTGATGCGCTTGCAGCATGAGCTCCACCGCCTGAACATCAAGATGCCCGCTTGCTCGCTTGATGCCACCCCAAAAGGCTACCAACCTCCAAAAAAGAAATACCCAAACCAAGCCGCGCCGTTCACATGGGCATTTCGGTTTGCCAACCATATTTGAAGGCTTCCCGATTGAAATTCATTCCCAAATCAAGCCGCAGGCATTTTTGGATGCCTCCTCATAGGAGACTTCCTCTGCAGCTGCTCTTGCCTGGCTTTTTCGGTGACTCGAGCGACATCCTGAAGAAGCTCCACAGGCATTCCAATTTGGGCTGTTCAAGAAGGAGGGTGGGCGACTACAAAGGGAACCGTCTGAACAGCTTGTCAATTAGTCGTGCTGTTTTGTCGGGTTCTGAACGGAAACCAAATCATTTGGGCGGGTCGGTTCCACAAAAGGTGAGACAAACCCATGTTACATAGTTCTCTGCAAGATCTGAATCACATCACCTTTCTCACTCAAGCGCTCCAAAGCACCCCTTGAAAAGACCCATGCACCTCGGCAAAAACAAAACACGTGAAAAAGGTTGCAGGAAACCCTCGAAATTCCCGGACAAGCAGTTCAAGAATGTGAAAGAGTCCAAGTATGTCGGGCCTGATATGATCCCTCTATGTGCAAAGGGGGCGTTTGCCTTCCACTGTGATGGCCCAGCCAGCCTCCCACCCACCCCGCCTCTGGACAAATCAAAGCCGTCGGCCAGCCCCCGTTCGGCTGATCAAAAGTGGAACTCACCATATTTGCGGTTGCAGGCAGTCTGTAGTTGCCCTTTTTGTTGAACCATCACACTTAAATAGATACTCTGAGAATCGCAACAATCATGAGCCCAGCCGAGGGCGGACAGCTTCAAGGCGCTTTCCTTGTTGCTGGGCTATGATGCATTCTGACGAAAGCAGTTCCTTTTTGAAAGGCTGCTTTCACCATCTGCTGATTCCAAATGGTGGAGGTTAATGTTGGCCTTGAAATTCCAGCGATAGTTTGAACCACTATCAGTGCACATAAACAGGTTCACAAAAGGAAACCTAAGGAAACCAGTTGCCATTTGGGCCTGAGCTGTATTTGGGGGGGCCCCTTGGCGAACATCATTTACAAGAACTGGTTCTCCATCAATTTCTGAGGCTGTTCGATGCTTTAAGGTCGTAGACATGTGCGGCCCCAAATCCTCATCTAAACTCATACTCCCATGCCTCCAGGCGGGCGCGCAGCACCGGGAGGGCAGGGTCCTCCGGGGGCCTGGGGAATCACGTGCCCAGGGTCAAGGGCGGCAATGATGTCGTTTCAGAAACGTACCCCAAGGACTTGTTTATCTTAAACGGGAGGCAACCTGCACGAGCTTTTTGAGAGGCAAATAAGGGCTGTGTATTCGGGGCTTGCAGCAAAGCTACGTGTTGGTGTTTTATTGTGACAGTAGAGCTGCGAAAACGGGCCCCCGAAAGCAATGGACTCGGCTTGGTGGGGCTACATGACAAAGGATGGGATGCCTTCCCACACGTACAAGTGGAGCAGAGCCGGGCGGAGCGGAGTGCGGGGGTGGGGGTGCGGTGCGGAGTGCGGCGGGGTGGAGCAGCTGGAGAAAGAGTTGGTCGAGGATTCTGTACACGTCTGCAATCTGCGATACACCTGCAGAGGATGGGCCTAAGCTATCCTGCAACAGGCTAGTGGAGATGGAGATGTTGGAGTGGAAACAGGTTTGGCACGCGCAAATGCTGGGTCTTCCTTCTTGTCTGCACAAGCTGTGCAGCTCGACACAGTTTGTGTCGGTGGGGCAAGTGAATGCCAAAACTGGGGACCCTGAACCAACATGAAACCAAACATCCAGAGTCTGGACCACTGTTTTGACACGCAGTCACATTGCTACCACGCAAGCGGAATCCCAAGACCCCTCGTTTCAGGGATCATGGGATCACCGATTGCTTTGACCGAGTGCCAAGACGGAGTCAAGGAAATGATTATCTTCAGAACCTTTGTAGCCGTCCATTTGACAAACCTTAAGTCGATATTCATCCCCTATTATTCCCGTTTGCTTGTTTCTGTGGCTCACTTCAGACATCAGACCAACAGTTCACGTCACTCAAATCTGATCCTGTGGCTGCTGCGCAGCTTTCTCCGGAGCTGCTGGCATTGCCAGTCTGTGATCATCCTCTTCTTTGCCTGCAAAGGCTTTGCATGCAATTGCTTGGTGTCATGCTTTGACTCCCCTGCTGGCCCATGCCGGCCAAGGCACGTGGAGCCAATTAGTGCGGAGAAGTGTGGTCATTGCTGAACATTTGGCAAGGTTTCAACGGGAAACATTGTGCGGGGAACAGTTTCACAAAGCGGCCTGTGTAAACTGGGACTTTGATGCTTCGGTGTTGAGCACAATTGACGCCTAGCATGCAGGAATTGAACAAAAACTGCCCCTGAAACTAAACAGGCTGAAGCTAGTGCAATTGCAGGCAAATTCCGAAGAACGTACTCCAGCAGGAATGACGGCCGCAGGCAAGCTGAGTGTGATGCAGGCTTGCTTTGATCTGCACCGCTGCAAAGGTTCTATCAAGAATCCAAAGCCTTCTGCAGCACCATCATCTGGCATCGCCCAGTGGAAGGCAGGAGGGAAGCTTCAAGCGGGCATCGAAGCATCCTTGACTCTCTAGAAGCATGGTTTGAATGGTGGCCAATGTGGAACTGGATAACATGCCGAATGCCATGCCCAGTTTGCGGCTTCTGCGGGCCTTTGTCCTTCTGTGGCCTTGAGCCGAAGTGCCATGCCAAAGGGCCGACAATGTTGAACTCTCTCGGGCCGAATCTCGGGTTCTTCACAGAGTGGCAGAATGGGAACACGAGACCTTCCCATCAATTCGGGATGGTTGCCCTGCCTCCAACAGGGGAAGCTGACACGAGGGTGTTTGGAAGACTACTCCTCAAAAGGGAAGCCGTCCACTTCCATGATTCTTGGAAAGAGGGTAAGCTGGGGTCAACATTGCAAGGTGCGGTTTGACTCTTTAGCCATGCTCAAAATATGCGGCTGCCCTGATGGAAGGGATAAAATGGTGAGTCGCAGCCCCCCTGTTTTTGCGGGAATGTAGCGAGCCTTCCATATCCCTCCAAAATTGGGCCATAGACTGGATATTGACTGAATCTCGATATGAGGTGGCAGGTTGGTGCGGCACCATCTCCCAAACGATCACGTCACCCTCCAGAGTGAGGCCCCAAACCTTAGAGCGCCGCAGCTGGAAGAAACAAACATCGGCACCGAGCCACCGGCCGATGACTCCGAGCACTGCACATCATGGAACCTTCCGCGAGGAACGGCTTCAGCTGTGGTGGGACCCAACAACAAGCAAAAACACTACCATCCAACATCAGGATTACGGAGTGAGGCACTTGCACTCACACCTTTTTTATTGCCGTTCGGTGTGATATGCCCAACACGGCTCGGCACTTCGGAGTTCCTGCAACGTACTCCACCAAAAAGACATTCACTTCCAAATTGCATAAAGGTGATGTTTGGATCGCCCAGTGAAGAAACCTGCCAGGACCTTCTGATCAAGAGTACTCCCAGCGCGGCCAAATGCCTGGCGTCGGTCTTCTCCTTGAAGACCAACCGACGAGGAGGTGCGAATTGCCTGTCATCCACGTCCGCGCCATTCCATTGGACAAGAAAGCTGCGTGACACGATGTTCTCCCTTGAAATCAGGATACTACGCTTTTATTCTCTTTATCCTCCACCGACTCTCGCGTCTTCTGACTCGCAGCCTAAGCAGCGAGGCCAGATGTCCTCTGAACCTAGCCTAGCAAGGTCGGGCGAAGTCCGCCGCTGACCTGAAAGGGCGTCGCTGGGCCATCTCAAAGATGAGCCGCCTAGCCTCAAGGATGGTTTGCGTGCACACTCCAATGCGGATACCCGCGCTGAAGCAGGTGATCCCAAAGGCCGAACAATCGATGCTGCGAACAAACAGGGATTCGCAATCCATCCAGGAGAAAAACTTCCTAACTACTTCCCGCATGCAGAAGATGAGATCACCGATCGACGGTGCCCCGGTGTGAACCCCAGCGGTGTCAAGCGAGACCCAACCCTTAGGGTGCCTCACAGGGAACTGGCCCCCCATGCATTGATATGCGATGGCCAACTCAAACCAGCTGATGGGGGTGTCCCCTCCACTCTCACAATCAAAAGCGACAAGCCACTGGCAAACGTCACGCACAAACCTGAGTGGGAGGGGGCCTTGATAGCCCGCACGAAAAACCTCTTGTCCGTGTGGGCCAATCTGGGCTTCAAGCGAAAGTGGTCTATCCTCAAAAGCCATTGTAGGCGGGATGAATTCAATTGCCTCAACGGTGTTTTCGGGCGAGGCAGCAAAATCTGCTCTGGCGAGCGTCAGTTCTTTGATCGCCCTCAGTGCACGCCCGTAGCGTTCTTGCTGTAGAAGAAGTTCCGCACGAAGGGCGAGCAGACGAGGTTCTCGGCCGTATAGCATTGCTTTTGCTGCTGTGTCAGCAGCCGAATTGCCCTGGTGTTCCCAGTCTTGGATGGCTGTGGCTCGTTGGTGTTCTGCTTGATGACTCTGCACCTTGTGAATGGTCGGCATAATGTTGCACTGCTGCCGTTGAGCCCAGATGCGTCGCCAGAGGTCCATGTTGGCGAGGCCGTGGTGGCGCTTGTGGTTTTCCTCATGAGCCCAGCCGTCGATGCACATTTGGCAATCGGTCCAGACGCGCACCGTCCGTGTGGTTCGAGCGGCCCATGTGACCGCGCTGAGGATTCCCACCAGTTCGGCTCGCTGGATGGTCTGGGCGATGCCCTGTAGCGGGCCAGCTGCTAGGGTGAGGTCCTCCTCCACACAGTAGACCGCCCATGAGGCCAAGGAGAGCGCCGGGTTAGCATGCGGCACACATGAACCATCTGTGAACAGGTTGTAGGTCTGGTACTGCATCTCAAACTCCTCGAAGCGGTCGGAGACGTCCGGGTGTTGTGCAGGGCCTGGATGTAGTCGGCGTGGCCTTTCAATCGAGGGACCAGCAGATGGTGCGTAAGGCACCTCGGGAGATCTGGCCAGTGTTGGGCTAGCCATTCGTGGTCTCGTCGGTGTGACTGAAGTGTCGGGCAGTGGAGGCAGAGGTGTTCCACTGTCTCCGGGACTCCGCAGCTCTTGCATTGTCCTGTGTTGGTGGCGTCGTACTTGGCGTGCTGGGTGGCTAGCCTGAAGGATCCGTCTTGAAGTGCGCGGACTCGAGCTAGCTGAAGTGCAGTGAGCCGTCCGGTGTCCGGGTTGGGGAGGTGAAGATCCAGCCCATCCAGGTCGCTCATTGTTTTGCGGTGCTGCACTTGCTTTGCCACGTGCTGCGCCCGTGCTTCTTGGAGTTGGAGGCGGAGGAGCTTGTGGTCAATGTCCAGTAGATCATGAACACAGCCATTGTGGTCCTTGATGAGGGGAGGTTTGAGTAGGAGCCAGCCAATCTGGTTGAGGCAGGTCAGCACTTGGGAGAAGGGGCCGGCAAAGAGTGTACCATCAAAGCGTCTGTGAAATGCGCGCCAGAGTCCAACCAGCGCAGGAAGTTTCCGGCACATCCGGCGCAGCTCACGGATTACCATTTGTAGTCGGAAGTAACCCGGATCTGCCAGCATATTGGGGCTGAGGCAGAGCCGAAGAAGGGCATTAGAGCCCGCTCGCTGTGCTTGAAGGGCTTTTGTCGCCTGTGTTTGTAGTTGGTGAACTGCTTTGTCCGTGACCTGGCTGATGGAGGTACCGTAGAAGATGGCCGGCCAGAATTTGATGAAGAGAGCGTTGATCTTCTGGTTGTATGGTGCGGGTGCACGGCGAAGCCTCTCCCACTCCCAATCAATGGATTGTGTCTTGGTGGTTGTTGGTCGGGATGTCTGCTTGGTTTTGAAGGTCATGTGGCCACCCAGGTCTTTCATCTCCGTGACAACATGCGGGCCAATCAGTTGCGCCTGCTGGGTCATCTTTGGGTCCAGTGACCAAGCCAGTGACTTTTCTGTCTCAGGTTCAATTTGCGACATGTCGCAGAAGGCCAGGTAGGCGATCCATGCACGAAGCAGTTCGCCCGCAGTGTAGACTTGGACTGCCAGGTTGTCCACATAGCTGTAGGTCTGAACCGTGGGGAGGAAGGCCTTGAAGTAGAGGTGGTAGCTCATGTCCAGAATGCACATGGCTACCGTGCTCAATGCACAGCCTTCTGGAAGGCCAGTGGTTGCCAAGATCGCATTTCCAAGGCCACCTCTGATTTGAAATCTTCTTGAACTGTGGTTGAGGAAGTGGGCCCATGCCCGGACAATTCCCGCTGGAATGCCGAGGTGAAGGGCCAGTTGTAGTAGTGGGAGTCGTGGGAGTGCGTTGAAGCATTTCTGGATGTCGCTGCACCAGCCTCCAAGTGATGATTGGCCCTGGAGGCTGAGCTCCACCCATGCTTGTTGTTCATACCAGTATTGTGAAGCTTCGCGTCCCGGAAGAAAGCCGTACATGTTGAAGTCGCACTGGTGGGCGAGGTACTTGAGGCAGGCCTTGGCTCTCAGGCTGGACCAAATTCGATATGGGGCGCCGTAGATCACTATGGGGCGGAAGTCCAGGACTTGCAGTGATTCCGCCTTCTTGGCCGTTGCCAGGACTGTTCCTTGGAGGAGTTGTGCTGGCCAGTCTGCGGCGCCCTCCTCGATGGAGTGGAACATGCCGATGAGGTTCTTCAGGAGCCGTGATGGAATGTGGAGAAGGTCGTCCCGCGCGAGCCCATCCGGGCCTCGGGCGGCTGTGGGCCGTAGAGCTTTTGCCGTTTGTCTCCAATCTTCCGGCTGTATTTGGGGGATAGGGTACTCGCCCTTGGGCAGGAAGTGGTAGCCGAAGTTGAGGATCCGAGCCCACTTCCTCCAGGATTTGCGCGTGTTTGTTCCAGCGTTGGCTCCATTCGTCGTGAAATTGGCGGTGGAGTTCCTCTTCCTTGGTGATGAAGCTGTTGAGCGTAAGCGCTTGTCCAGGTAGGGGAGTTGTTTCCGTATGTATTTGAGCAAGGTCGTTGCTCTGGTTGGTGACGGTAACTGGGATCCCGTCCACATGGCCAAGGGTTTCGGACTGTGTGAGCTGCATGTCGCAGTCCAGGTGCACCTGCTGGGTGTCGGGGTCGTAGGCCAGGATGGTTGCATGCTTTTCCTCCAGCAGGGAGTCTACCAGCGAGGGCTTTGGTCGCCTGAGGAACTTGTAGATCAGGTGTTGGTTGGCGTCGTAGCGCTCCTTCAGCACTTGGTTGCGGCTTCGGTTGTGGAAGGCTTCGAAGTCCCTGAAATTCTGGTGGAAGTCGTTGTAAATTTGATCCACTGTGTCCGGAGTAGGTTGGACACGTTGCAGGTCGGCTGGACTGCCGAGAAGTTTGATTTTGCGTGTAGGCCACCAAAGCAGGAAACGTGAGGCAAAGCCCTTGGCCCGCAAGATGCTATTCCAGTGCAGCGTTATGTTCTCCTTAGCCTGCTCGGAGTTGTGGCGTCCGTTGATGGCATGCTTCAGCGACTGGAGGCGTCTGAGTTGGGAGAACCAGCGGGCTACCGCCCATCCGATGAAGTCGTTGTAGAGGATAACCTCCCCTTGTCGGCTTGGTTTGGAGAGAGGCTTCTGCGGTGGTTGTACATGAGGAGCAAGTTGCTGGCATCTCCCCTTGCACTTCGCAGGCAGAAGGTGCGCTGCGTGGTCTTGGACAGCGGCTTCGAAAGAGCGTCCCCACTGTCGATACCAAGTGGTTGAGTCTCCCCGAGGTTGGGTCTGCATAGAGCGTAGGGAATGAGGGAGTTCTGCTTGTCGCACCTGATCCCAGGGTATCGTGGCTGGGTGTTTCCACACCTGCTGAGCGCGAGGAGCTTCTTCCAGTTGTAACCTGATGGAGACCGCACTGTGCTCGTGAAAGTGATTCTCTATGCTCACCTCGAGGCAGAGTGCAGCGGCTTCTGGTGAGAGGTAGATGTAATCTCTCTGCGTGGCGCCTTTGCATGTGTGGCGAATTGGAGCACCCCATCGGTGTAGTGCGAGAGCTTGGCATTCGATCCAGCCTTGCTCCTTCCAAATCGCCAGTTGTGGCAGCTGGCTTTCAGTGGCATTCAGGTCGCCCAGGATGACACGCGCGCCTGTCTGGCCGAGCACGAGGTGTGTGGTGAGGTTTTGGAGTAACTCATCTGTATGGGCGTGAGCTTGGGGAAAAGTAGGGCCTTTGGCGTAGCCATAGACTGTGGCCACCGTGATCTGCGCGTGGTCGACCATGTGGGCGGTGATTGCGACTCTGCCAGTGGTGTAGGCCATGTTGTGCCACGGGATGCGGATCTCCCGGGATGGGAAGTCCGCCAATGCAAGGACGCCGGCCCAGGAACCTGCCCAGGTGGATGTTCTCCTTAGCGGAGCCGCAGCGCCAGTGATCACTCTGACTTGCCGGTGTTGTTGGTAAGCACCATGTTGGAGTGCTTTGCGTACTGTTGGGATTGTAGCTTCAGAAAGCTGGGTCTCAGTGAAGAACCACATACCTGGTCCCAGGTCTAAAGCTGTAGCGACCTTGCTTCGAAGGCCGGAAGGATTGGTTGTTCCCAGCCATACCCCAGCTGGGGGTCGCGGGTGTCTGGCTTCACCCCAGCGGC